TGCCTGTCTACGGGGAGTAGGTTGGTGGTGGTGTTCAGAGCAAAGTGTATATGATGAGAACTGTTATCCAAAGGGCGTCTATGGGTGGGGGTGTTCTCTACGGGGAGTAGGTTGGTGGTGGTGTTCTCTACAAGGTGTATGTTGACAGTGCTGTTCTCCAAAGGGCGTCTATGGGTGGGGGTGTTCTCTACGGGGAGTAGGTTGGTGGTGGCGTTCTCTACGGGGTGTATGTTGACGGTGGTGTTCTCCATAGGGTATCTATGGGTGGGGGTTGTTCTCTACGGGGCGTAGATCGGTGTTGGTGTTCTCTACAAGGTGTATGTTGACGGTGGTGTTCTCCGTAGGGCGTCTATGGTTGGGGGTGTTCTCTACGGGGAGTAGGTCAGTGTTGGTGTTCTCTACAAGGTGTACGTTGGTGGGGGTGTTCTCTGTAGGGCATCTATGGTTGGGGGGTGTTCTCTACGGGGAGTAGATCGGTGTTGGCATTCTCTACGAGGTGTGTGTTGGTGGTGGTGTTCTCCGTAGGGCGTCTATGGTTGGGGGGTGTTCTCTACGGGCAGTAGATCAGTGTTGGTGTTCTCTACGAGGTGTGTGTTGGTGGTGGTGTTCTCCGTAGGGTGTCTATGGGTGGGGGTGTTCTCTACGGGGAGTAGGTTGGTGTTGGTGTTCTCTATGGGGTGTACATTGGCGGTGCTTTTCTCTACAGGGCTTCGGTTGGGAGCGGCATTCTCTACGGGGCGTAGGTCGGTGGTGGTGTTCTCCACAGGGTGTATGTCAGTAGTCGTGTTCTCTACGGGACATGTGGACAGTTGGTGCTGTGACTCTGTGGCCTTCCCAATCTAGCCTTCCTGCTGGCATTTACTTGGGAGCAGCCCAGATGTTGACCTGTCGCAAATACGGAGCAATGGTACCCAGTGTGGACGATCCCCATGACCCACGTGACTCTGGAATATCTGGGCTGCTGGCCTCGGGTGTGCAAAACCTGTTAAACTCATGTACCTGGTCCCAGCAGGCAGCATGGTGGGTAAGGCACCACGTGACTGACCATGGTTTGAGCTGGTTACGTCACTGGATTCCCACATAGTCGACTGTGGTTCGAGTCCTGGACCCAGTGGTTTAAACTCGTGCCAGGCATGTGTGCGTGCGTGCCCAAGATCCCAAGAGGAGAATGAAGGAGAAGGGATTGCGGCGTGGCCATCCCCCCAGAGGGGGGGGGTGATTTCTCGCTTTCTCTCTCTCTCCATCTCTCTGTCTCTGTGGCAGAAACAAGGATAAATAGATAATAGATAGACGATAGGTGATAGATGACCAGCAGAGAGCTGATAGGTGACAGAGAAGCAGATGATAGCCATGGTAGGATAGCGGATAGGGAGATCCCTCATGACACATGTAGATGATCAGTAGGTGACAGATGGCATAGATAGGCCGATGACGAATAGAGAAGACAGGTCATAGGTTGATAGGTGATCGACGGATGATTGATAAGTGGTAGCTAAGTAGATGCTAGCTACGATAGATGAGATGGGTGGACAAAGAGCTGAGAGATCGATAGAGACAGAAACACCGTCAGCGAGCAGCAGACGGCTGCTCATGGTGGACGTGCATGACCCAGATAGATGACACTGATGCTTGATAGTTACGATTGATGAAAGAGTGATTTCTTTATTCTTCTTTGTTCTTGCTATTATTCGTATTATTAATTGGACGAGAGAGAGGAAGGAAAACTGAGAAAGCAAGCCATCAGGTTGGGGGCTCACACCACGGTCGGCCATGTGGGAGCCCAGCGTTTTAATCATCACGCCACCTGCCGGCCCCCAATAGGTAACAGATCGATAGAGGGACAGGGACGTTAGGTAACCCCTCACCGTTGACAGGTGAGAGATGGTGGCTACGACAGCAGCTACGTTGACGTACATGGAAAGTGACTATCCGTAATACTCTCAGATGGAGAGAGATGACCGAGATTCAGATGACCGACAGCCTCAGTCTGTAAAGCAGGATTTCTGAACCCCAAGCCCTGTGGACCCCTGGGCTGGAGGACTCTCTGAGCCACGGCACCCGGGGCACCACTGTCCCCCCCGCCACTGCCACCACCGGATCTCCCCGGGAGGTCAGAATGACTCCCTTCGGAGAACCGCTGGGCGAGTGAGAACGCTCAGCCGCCGTCCGCGTGTGACAGTACCCACACTAGATGTTAGAATTGCATAACTGGGGAAGGCATTCATATTCCAAGCGTGTTATCGCCCCGCTCCAGACCGGAAAAGCAGGAAGTAAAGCCCCTGAGAGCCATCCCAGCCCTCGGGCACGCTGTTTAACTCTCAGAGGAGAGCCTTGCCAGACTGTCTGCTCCTTCTCCCATGGCAGCTGCGTCTCCCGGGATCCGGGGTAGGCTGCTGGGTGACTACCCGGCCCCCGCTCCTGCAGGCAGCCACATATGCATGCACAGACCCCCCAGGGCGCACCTACTGTGCCTGAGTGGGGCTGATCACTCACCGTTGTCTACGGATGTGCTCAGGGGGTTGCAGGTTCAAGGCTGACCCGGTTGAAGCACCCGGTGACAGTCGTGTTAATTGGCCTTTTTCCAGGCTCCATTTCTCCGCAGGTCTTTCCGCTCATTCTCAGACCCTGGGCTGCTGACAGGGAGAAATGTTGGCGTTTAGCTGCATTGGCAGGCCTCCAGGTCCGAAGTGCAGCCTGAGGTTTGCCCATACCCTGGCGCACATGTCTGTGTATACACTGTCTACATGATGTGTGCACCCAGACACTCAGCCAGGTACATGTTGCAAAAGTTGCATACGTAGACATCATCTACATTGTGCCTGCATCAAAACGTTCAGGCAGATCCACATTGCAGAGGTTGTATATCTGTAAGTTGTGTACATTGTGTGCACACACAAACTTCCACCCCAGATAATCATTGCCAAGGTTACAAACATATACATTGTATGCATTATACATCCACCGGAACATGGAGGTAGGTAGCCCTTGCAAGGTTGTATACGTATACATTGTAGATATTCTGTGTGCACCCAAACATTCACCCCAGATCACATTGCAAAGGCTGTACACGTATACCTTACACCTGCACCCAGACATTCAGGCAGGTAACCCCTGCAAAGGCAGGCAGGAAGCAGAGAGGAAGGGGCTGGTCCCATAGTGCAGAGGGTGAGTGCTATGCAGAGGAAGCTGGACCCCACAACTGACTGGGCTTTGAGTCCCAGCCCCTGTGAGTGACACACTGGATATGCATGCACCTGTGTAAGAGCCGGACGGGATGGAGAATTGGAGGGAAGAGGACTGCGGTGCAAGCAGGCCTCCTGGCAGGGGTGTGCTCTCTCTCTCCCCCCCTCTTGCTCATACACACAGACACAGACACACACCCCTGTGGCATGATAAACAGAAAAAAGTGTCAGCGGGTGGCGTGGCGCTTGGGGGCAGGGGCTGGATCCCACATGGCTGACTGCACGCTTCAAGGTCTGAGCCCAGCGGCTTGAAAAACGCATTGGCGTGTGTGCTCCAAATCCCGAGAGGAGCGTGGAGGAGAAGGGCTTGCGGCCGGCTGTATGCGTGAATTCACACGGCAGGAGAGACGGAGCAGAGGTGACCCAGTGAAAGCTCTGGAAATGGGGGTTACCCTGGACTGCTTTTTGTTTTGTATTGGCCATGGGGCGTGAGTCCTCTCTGCAAAGAGACAGTGAGAGGGAAAGTGAGAAACCCCTTTGGTACTATGGGGTCCAGCTGCCTTAACCACCGTGCTATGGTCTGGCCCCACAGGGGTGTAACTCAGGGAGACCCACTGCAGAAGTCTCACCTCCGGGGCTGTA